CACATACATAAATATGTACACACATATACATACATAATAAATTCTAAATAAAAACTAAAATCATCCGTTGATCCGTGATTACAAATTAAAATAGTCCAAAGGAAACGCTCACTTCTGATACTTCTTGTTTTATACATGACGTAGGCATTTACCTGTTGATCAGCTGGGTAGCCGGTCCAAGAGTAGTAATTGATAATTGATACTGCGCTAACCGGTATTGTTGTGTGTCGCTCTGTACTACCTACGCTAACGCTTTATTTTACTACGCTATACTTTCTCTGTGCTTTCTTTCTTCTACTACTCTGCTCCCTCTATTATTTTTATGTTAAGTATGCATTTATAAGAGAGTATTTGTGAATGATGTATGTGTGAAAATAAAAAGGAATAACACAAATTGTAAGTCGTCTAGTCATTTTTAATCATATAACAAAACCTACCAACCTTTTACAGTACCAACTTGATTAATTTTTTCTTTATCATATCAGTCGTTTACGGTTCACAGCTGAACACAGGCCTCTCCCTATCGAGGAAGTCAGTAATTGTTGTCAGTAATTGCCACGCTCGGTAGGCAGATTGACAACCACAATTAGGCATTAGTGAGGTTTTAAGAGAGACGCTGCTGCCTATCCTTCGACCTCCCCTAGTCGCCTTTTATCACACCTACGGGAAAGAAAGAGGTGGCCCATTCTATGCCGGGGCACACACGGCGGACAGATACTAAGCTGAAAATAAATTAAATACAATCAGGTGGGATAAGATTGGAAATATATGGGATAGTATTTGCTTTAGTAATATTACTGAGTGTGATTGGACTGGAGCGAATGAAAAATGATTATGAAAATTGTTAAAATAGCTTTTAATAATTTTCAGAAGAATTATCCACTCAATTATTGGAGAAATTTTCAAATTTAGGTATTTTAAATACTGGAATGCTACAATTTAAAAAATGCTACTATTTCAAGTATTTTCTAGAAGTTTGATGGCTGCAAGTGACTCAGAATCGTTCCTTGTGACTGTCTATTGTGGACGTCTGTCATCAACAAAGAACAATAAATGAATGGAATGATAATTACGTAAGCTTCGACATAATTGATATCTGCAACGATATCTTCACAGACTTTGCAAACTGTGGTCCTGCTACACCATGTCTATGCAAAGAAAGAACACCACTTTACCTGCTGACAATATTGCTCCTTTCCACTTTGGGTTTGCTCGAAGAGAACTTTTTTAGAGTTAAGCTCACCTTTGTAGATTTATTTATCTCTGTCATATTTTTTGACGACTTACAATGGCAAATAAGCTGACGGTCTATCAGATGGAAAGTGGTAACCGTCGTTAGAAATGTGCAGTACCATGGACATGACAGAGTATACTGTTACGCCCATGATACTCCATGTGTTGCCATTCCTAAGCACTCAGATATTATTCCTCTATATCCTGTAAATTCACCGTCATATCCCATCCTTCAAACTGAAACACAGCTATACAAACACGACTGCTTCACGGATGAAACACGAATGGGACAGAGGTACTCAAGCAAACGACTTTTGTACAAAGTTTCCCTCTGGTGGAATGTACTAAAGTGTGTACAATAAAGTATAAATAAATTAAATGGCTATGGTTAAGTTATCTGTTGTTAATATACTCAACTATTGGTTACAGCCATCCTCACGCATCAAGCTCGACCGGCACATTATACTTAGCGACGCCTCATGTTTACCAGTCAGTTACGGCAGTTATCACGGCTATCAACTACTGTTAGCTGCTATAGCTGGTGGTAAATGATCGAAGTCTGAACCGACAGCGTAGCCTAGCCATTAGTTTATTAGCAATCTGGCCCGATTTGGTACTGGTAGGCAAAATTGTTGAAAATAATATATATAGTTACTCTTATATATATATATATATATTATATATATATATATATATATATATATATATATATATATATATATATATATATATATATATATATATATATATATAACTACGTTACTCGCTGATAATTTAGATAGAAACCTATAAAAAAATTTAAAATCGGTTGAGTAATTTTTAAGTTTTGTAATTAAATTAAAGTAATTTTTCCATTACTAACAAACAAACAGTACAATTTTTCCTCTTTATAATATTCTATTTACAATTATCTATGATATAGATAACTGCCCAGTTGCATTGTATCGAGTTCAATCCTTTCCGTGGTAACAAATAAGTAAGTAAGTAACTTTGTACAAAAGTCGATTGCTACCAAACCTCTGTCCCATTCGTGTTTCTACCGTGAAGCAGTTGTGTTTGCATAGCTGTGTTTCGGTTTGAAGGGTGGGATATGGCGTGAATTTACTGGGTACAGAGGAATAACACCTGACTCCTCAGGAATGACAACGCATGGGGGGTATCATGGGCGTAACAGTATACTCTGTTATGTCCATGGTACTACTCATGTACCACTTTCCATCAGGTGGGCCGTCAGATTGTTTGCCATTCTAAGTAGTATAAAAAAAAAATTGCTATTTTATTTTTATTTGTTTGTTTTTTTTTCCAAAAAAATACTTTATAGTTATTATTATGTTAGGTAGATATATCTATTAGTAAAAAATCTTTTAATTCCGTCAATAGCAGTGCCATCTATAGACCTTATCTCAAATTATTTTATCAAGAAGAGTAAGCGACACCTATAATCTGTGAACTTAAACTTTAACGTTCTATTGTTATTGATACAATAAAAGTATTTTAACTGTTTTCATAGATGGCATCATTATTGAAAAATTAAGAGGTTGTTTTACTAATAGCGATTCCTAACATATAATTACAAAGAAGTTTGTTGAATAAATGATTCAATAAATTAAAATAAAAAACATATGTAACATATTTGTTACTGCTTTGAGGATCGATTTCAATTTACTCGTAATGTAAATGAGCAGTTATTCAACTAAATAGCTAATGTTAGGTATGAAGCGATATAATCGATTGTAGTGAGTCATTAATACAATAGCTGTATAAACAAATACATGTTTATTTAGCCGGTTATTGCACTACTGACAGCTGGATAGTTAGGATATTAAAATTTCGGCTACTTACCCATCGCTGTCCGCAGTGTAAGGTGGGACGTTGCGGCATTAAGAATCGTTTTTACCCTGATGAAGGCTCGGATTAAGTCAAACAATTGTCTATATATATATATATATATATATATATATATATATATATATATATATATATATATATATATATATATATATATATATATATATATATATATATATATATATATATTAAAATCGTGAAATAAATGAACATAAGTTTTAAAAATAATGATTGACGTTTCTCACGACTAGTTTAATGTTGAGTACAAAGGTGAATAAACAACGCTACATAATCACACCAATTACCTAATTTTCAAGCTAAGATAGACTGTGTTATGCGGAACACGTAGATTGAATATATTTTGAAATGATCATTTCCTAAATTGGGCCGAACGGGAACAAACCCGAAACTTTATTTGCGCAATGTTATGTGCCCATCACTGTTCCACAGAGGTCGTTAAATATATATTATATACTAAGATCACGTGGCTGCATCGTTTCTTTGAAAAAAAATATTTCATTTGGAAAACAAATAATTTCCTGTTACACTTAGTATATACATATAAATAACACGAAAAATAGTGAAGTTTATACAAGTAAGTATAAATTACTTGACATTGAATAGATAGTTTACCAGAGGGAGACTTTGTACAAAAGTCGATTGCTTGGGTACCTCTGTCCCATTCGTGTTTCAACCGTGAAGCAGTTGTGTTTGCATGGCTGTGTTTCGGTTTGAAGAGTGGGATATGGCGTGAATTTACTGGGTACAGAGGAATAACACCTGAGTCCTCAGGAATGGCAGCGCATGGGGGGTATCATGGGCGAAAAAGTATAATCTGTTATGTCCATGGTACTGCTCATGTCTATAGGCGACGGTTACCACTTTCCATCAGGTGGGCCGTCAGCTTGTTTGCCTTCTAAGTTGTATAAAAAAAAAAAAAAAAAAATAAAAAAAAAATTATCAACTCAATTGTAAATAGTAAAGTTTTTATTGTTATGTTCAAAGAATTATACACGATTATAAAGATTAACAATATGTACACAAATAAAAAGTATAATTAATTATATAAACTTAATTACATAGAAGGAAAATAAAGAGTCAACAATGGGCGGCCAATCACAAAATTTTCAGAAACACTAAGTTCACAGGAATTTCCATATTTGGTGCTGAGAAAGGTTATGAATACTGAAATAAATATATCGGCGTTTGGCATCCCTACACACTCTGTTGCAGATGTTACAATTACATCAATTAAATAATTTATCCTTGTTCTGTTATGTAAGCCCTAATCTACATCTACACTAATATTATAAAAAGTTATTTTTGTGTGTATGTTTGTTGGTAATGAATAAACTCAAAAACTACTTTGCCGATTTAAAAAATTCTTTAACCATTAGAAAGCTACATTCATCCTGAGTAACATACCACATATTTATTGCTAGAAAAGATTAGGGATCCTTACTAAAACTTTAGTAAAGTAACTCAAGGTGTAAAAAAAATGCTAGGTAGGATCAGATAAAAATGTTAAATGTTGTAAAAATGACCACCCGTGCGAAGCCGGGACGGGCCACTAGTATATTATATAAAGTAATTATAAATCAGCTACAAGCATTATTCAACAATAGGTAGTATGTGACAGTACAAAACAAAAGAAAAAACAATATACATATGTATATTTACGTTTAGTAACAACTTGTTAATGTTTATTACCTCTCTTAAAGAATAAAGTATATAAAAAAAATAACCATTTTATATAATTATCTTAATATAATACTCATAATTTTAGTAGGTACCTAATAAGAAATAAATTAATTGTTAATTTATAAATTACCGTATAATATACGTAAACTTACGTCAATATATATCTACGATACAAATTGACATATCATCTTCTATGTTAATTCATATATCACAGTCAATGTAGGTACAAGGTCGGATATTTGTACTACACTCATTGTTCGGCCGTTGTGAGATCGAGACGTATTGAATAAAATGTACCAAGTTACAAATAAGGTTGTTCTAGTAACAGGTGGTGCTGCAGGCATTGGTGCAGGACTTGTAAGGGAGTTTCTGCAGGAAGGTGCCAAGGTAATTTTTTTTATCATTATATATTAAATTATAAATTATTTTGATCATACTACACAGCGCCATCTAATCATAAACTAATGTATATATATACATATATAGTAGAGATGTTGCATCTCTGTGCATCTTCTACCGAATTAATCATGGGGAGTGTTCTGAAGAATTGTTCGGATTGATACCTGCTGCTGATTTTCACCACCGTACAACCTGCCACAAACTAAAGTTTCATCCCAATCATCTGGACAAGTGGCGGTCTTCCACCGTGCGTTTTTCAAGGCACTTTCTTCCACGCACAACCATTTTTTGGAATCAACTTCCAGCAGCAGTATTTCCGAACCGATACGACAACATAACCTTTAACAAAAGAGTACATTCCTTTTTAAAAGGCCGGCAGCACACCTGCAATGCCGCTGGTGTTGTGGGTGATCATGGGCGGCGGTAGTCACTTACCATCAGCTGAGCCGCATGCTCGTTTGCCCCTTGTTTTGTAAAAAAAAGTCCACCAAATGTAAATAGAATTTTACTGAGCATTAAAGTTTAAACATATAAATAAAATATTATCGTGGTTGTGTAAAATAAATTTACTGAGAGCGTCTATTTATCCGGATATGGATTTTACAGTAGTTAAGATATTTTTACGGTCTATTTGTAACTATACATCTTAACTAAACATTTGTTGTACATGACTACATATTCGGTTACTTTGTATCCCATAATATTGGTAGTATTCCTAATAATATATCGGTAACACGGGTGAATTAGCCAGGAAAAACTAGTATTCTTATAGGGTAAATTGTTAATTATTATAAATTACATAATTAGCCAGTATAAGATTTTTGGATCAGGTTTACTATTGTAAGTTATTCTATTTCATTTTATGTAGGTTAGTAGAAAAATATAAACTTGTCCTATATATTTTTAATTTATTACAATCTTTACGATATAGGTACAAAGTCAGTTGATTTTTTGTTGTTTGTTTGTTTAACAGTTCATCTATAAAAACTTTTATTTAAAATATTTACAGTATTACATAGATAGGTATATAATTTATTTGCACTACTTACAGCATACAAATAATTACAGACATAGATAACATACACAAAAGAAAGAATACATATACAAAAAAAAAGGAAAATAATAAAGATGTACATACCCTTATACAGTACTGTAACTATTACAAAAATAGTAAGTTAAAAGAATATATAAATAATGTATAATATGTATCTACTTACACAGAGCAAGATTTTTTCAAATTTTGGATTTTTTGTTTTCTTTTTTATATGAAAATGTAAAACACGAGATTGTCAATTCGATTGTTTTTTTTTTGTATGTAAATTTCTCGATACTGTCTTTTTGTTCTGATTGTGATTTTATGTAGGATTAATTTCCGTGTCCCATATTAATTGCGTCACTATTGAGGTCACTTTTGTTTTTGAGGGCAGTGTTATAATTGTAATTAAATTACACAATATCTGTCACACCTGTCTTCCATTAGGGCAGGCAGAAGCAATGGCATGCCAAATGCATCGATTCAAAAAACATCTTTCCCTTCTTTCACATTCATCAATCTTTCATCTTTTATAATTACATTACGTTCCACAAAAACAAACTTCAATGGTAGTAAAACCAGTTATTTTTATTTAAAAACTAAACTGCTAAATCAATTTTGATAAAATTACTATCAATCTGACTAATATGAAGTATATTTATCAGACAAAAAAATAATTTTCTAAATCGGTTTACAACTAACGAAGTTATGAGGTAACGAACTTTAAAACGTCTATAGGCGACGGTTACCACTTTCCATCAGGTGGGCCGTTAGCTTGTGTGCCATTCTAAGCTGTATAAAAAAAAATACAACTTTCTTACCATTCGTCTTCTATAGTTAAAAATCTACTGTCTAAATTTGGTTTCCAACGCACTCCTAAAACAAAAGATTCTTACATCGGTAAAAGTTTGTTACCTCATAATTCCGTCAGTTGTAAACCAACTTGGATTTTTTTTTATCTGAAAGGAAATTACAGATTGGTTTCAAAGAAATTTTATCAAAATCCGCTCCGTAGTTTAGTTTTTATATCAGAATAACTGGTTTGATTAGAAAGAAAGTTGGGTTTTTTTTGTGGGACACAATCTTTAAGTATTTATAAACCTTCCAAATCGGTCAGATAAAATTATTATTTTATCTGAAAAGTTATATATATTTTATTGTTATATTATATTTTATTCCTCCAAATAGGTCCCAAAAAAACATAATCAAAATAAGATCAGTACTTTGATTTTTAAATCAAAACGACAGGTTTTGCCATACACAAAATCGATGTTTAATAAGTAGCTTCATACCTAATATTCATCATATCAGCTGTCTGTTTTTAAATATAGGCCTTCGCCATTAAGGAAGGTTTTGCCAGTAGTTGCCATGCTTGGTAGGCGGGTTGGTAATCGCAGTTAGGCTTTGGTGATGTTTTAGGCAGGACACTGTTGCCCATCCCTCGACCATTACGAGTAAGTTTCGTTCGTCGTCTCTTATGGTACAACAGTCACGAAAAAGGAAGGGGTGGCCTACTCTATGCTAGGACTATATGGATACCCTCATGCCTAATATTAGTAGACAGAAAAGTAACAATTATAATATTGTTAACATTGGTACTGAATGTAGAAATATGTACACAAGCATATAACAAATTTTTTTTCAGCATGTAGCGGCCTTGGATGTCGACGTAAATAGCGGCAAGGAATTAGAAATTGAATTGTCTTCAAAATATGGTGCGAATAAAGTAAAATTCTACAAGTGTGATGTGACCACGGAGGAATTAAATATTGTGAAATGAAATGAAATGAAATTTGAAATGAAATGAAATGAAATTTATTTGCTAGAAACATTGTAGAAAAGGTGTTGCATTTGTGAAGTTTATAAGATGTCCATTATGTTTCGCCACATCAAATGGCATGCAAATATTAATTATTGAATTTATCCATTTTCTATTTTATACAGGTACATCATATATTTAATTTTCAATTACATATACAATAAATCACTATTAGTACGAAGTGTCACTTTGGTCATGCATTACAAACAGTCAATAAAGCTACTACAAATAATAAAATAATAAAAATGTCAAATAAAATTAAAATTACAATTTAAATTTCAACTAAGTCAATGTCACAGCATTTATATTTTACAAAAACTCATTAATATTGTAAAAATTATTTTCTATTAACCATGTTTTCAATTTTAATTTAAAATAATTTAATGGCAATTCTCTTATTTTTTTTGGTATCCTATTATAAATGAAGGAGGAGGAAGGAGGTTCTCAATTCGGTTTTTTTTTATTTTTATGTTTGTTACCTCATAAGTCTGTCACTTGTAAACCGATTTGGAAAATTCTTTTTTTATCTCAAAGGATATACTTATAGATTAGTCATACAGAACTTTTATCAAAATCGATTTAGAAATTTAGTTTTTAAATCAAAAGCACTGGTTTCCCTATAATTAAAGTTATTTATTTTCGTGGGATACAATCTTTATTTATTTATTTATTTAACTCTTTATATAACCAAAAACATGAAAAAAGCAATGACATATAAACAATTCAACTGAAATAAAGTTGCATGAAGTACAGATTAAAATATACATATAAATATACAAAGGACGGTCTTATCGCTAGGGCAATCTCTTACAGACCACTTTTGGTTAAAGGAGAACATATAGAAGAATAGATGGCGCAAGAGTGAATTAATATTTTTTACGTATAATGCACAAAAACATCAAATACATATTATTTATTAGACTACTTATTATAACAAATAATATATGCTACATATACATACACATATAAATATATACATAGCACACACTAGGAAATATGACGAGTCTAGTAAAACGAAATTAAAAAATAAAATAAGAAAGGAAAAGAGTAACTACAGTGAAAGAAAATGGGATTTGACTTTAACATTTCTCATCTTAATTACATAAAGTATAAAAATATAGTAAATTCTGTACATAAAATATATTTCCAAAATAACTATCAGGGGGTGATTAGTGATCGATACTGATGCCAAAAATGCAATCAGTAAAATTTTTGTCGGTCTGTCTGTATGTTCGCTTTAGAAACAAAAACTACTCGACGGATGTCAACGAAACTTGGTACAATTATTCTTCATACTCCTGGACAAATTATAGTATACTTTTCATCACTCTACGATCAATAGGAGCAGAGCAGTGAAGGGAAATATTGGGAAAACGGGAGAAGTTATTCCATTTTTAAGCTTCCGTCGCGTGTACAGCCTTAATGGCCACTTTTTAAAATGTAAAAATGTCCACCCGTGCGAAGCCGGGACGGGCCGCTAGTACTAAAATAATGTAGGTACTATTTTTATTATCATTATATTTATAATTATATAATAGAATTATATCGTGTTTATTAGATATAAATAATCATAGAACATACACCTACTAACTGTTCAAATATTTACGTAAATGGTAGTGATAAAGCGTATATAGATTAAGTACTTACAAAAATAATTGTAAAGTTATTTACTTAACCAAACAGCACCCTTTACTGTCGCTGAGATAACGTAGTGAGGGATTTCTACCTATATACAAAAATTAAATTAAATACTATCGTTGTGTAATAGACTTATTTATCAGTCTAGGTAATATAGTGACGCGGGTAATAAAATGATAATATGGACATAAACACTAGTTTATAGATCGAAAAATAATAATTTGAAACTAATAAACTTAAGCCAATAAAAGCTAAAATTTGTTTTGCGTATATATATATATATATATATATATATATATATATATATATATATATATATATGTATATATTTAAAAAAGAAATAGTAACTTGCCATCGTTTATTATCATGATAATAATATTAATTACTATACATACAGGTGTTACCACTTAATACAATATCACATTCACGATCATTGTATATATACAAATTTTTATACTTATCATATTGTTGCCTTAGTAATAATTTTATTATTTTTAATTAATTACACTAATTTATTACTTATTTTTTATTTTATTTTTAACTTTACTGTTAATTGTTATTCGTTTTTATATAGACTATTTTTGGTAGATACTATAGATTGAAAATATTAGAATTGAAAATTAATAAAAATGTGAAATAAGTAGAATAGAAAATATACTTAATTTAATCAGTATTACCTTTGGATTACTTTCGAATGATTCCAATTCATCAGTAGGTATCTTCGTTCGGAAAATAATTTTCAATTTTCGTTGATTAACCTATCAACACAAACAGAAAATTTTAAATAGATATTGTTTCCTAGCTTCTACGTTTCATTTTATTCTATTTTCTAATAATTCTACTACTACTATAATCTTGAAAGTTCCTAAAGATGTGTGGATGGATATTTGTTACTCTTAGTTAGTTAGATTTGTTACGCAAAAAGTTACAGATATGAAATTTGGTACATCAGTAGGTTATATACTCGTGTAAACATAAAGAATACTTTATATACGGACGCAAATAAAGCGTATAATGTTATTGCAATTGACACACAGACATAATTATGTTTTTTTAAGAAAAGTAAGATTTATAATGCAATTAAAATATAACTATGTCATTAATTCATTAACGAGAAGTATACTAATTGTATGTTTATATTTTAGACGGCGTTGATAACAAGCTCATTAAGAGCGCATAAATTAATGAGCAAGGATAATGGTGGAAGTGGAGGGACGATCATCAACATATCATCAATTGTAGGCCTCTTTCAGACACCCTTCTTGCCCATTTATGCTGCCACAAAGAGCGCTGTCTTACAGTTTAGCACTTCTCTTGGAGTATGTATTTCGTTTTATTTTTTATTTTAAAATTTGAGTAAACGATGCCAATATTAGTATTAAGAAATTATGTAACTGCAAATTATGTAACTGTCTCTCATCTGCGCAGGATATAAGATTAGAAATATTTACATTATCGCATAGATCGAAAAGTTTTGTAGTATTTGTCCATGATTTAATGAATTGCAGTCTGAGACTCGTATAACCATTCGAATTAGATAAGAAATACCACTTTTGTATGAAGTATTCGTATTGTACCTAGCACCTCTAGCCTCATGGAGGATGGGATTGTTAGGAATGACGTCTAGCTATTTCATAGCAACTTACCCTATCAGAACAACCTTCACGCGGTTCCCTTGTTATCGTGGTTAATTCTTGAGGACTCATCACAATGGGTCAACTAACTTCCTGTCATTTTTATTATTGGGGTCAAACCAGTATATACTCTTAGTGAAGGCGGGGTTACCATTCCATTATCATTAATTAAAAAAAAAATCAAATTCAGTAGTAACGATTATTATTATGCTTTATACAGAGATATGCATATCGTGTATACATATGCATAACTCATATGTAACAAGTGTATTTTACTTAGTATTTTTAGTCATCTTTCAAGACTTCTTGAAGAAAAAGAAATAGTAGAGACATTAGAAATTTTTCACCAGGGGGAGACTTTGTACAAAAGCCGTTTGCAAGGGTACTCTGTCCCACCCGTGTTTCTATCAAAAAACATTTGTGTTTCGGTTTGAAGGGCCATATGACAGTGAAATTACAGGGTCTAGGGACATTATACCATAGTCATAAAGATAGGCAAAATAGAAAGGTATCATGGGTATTATAGTATATTCTGTAGTGTCTATAATGCTATTCTAGGTGCGGTTGTCAACCTGCTTGACAAGCGTGGCAAATTCTAGCAAAACCCCAAAAGGGAAAAGCCTATGATCAGCAGAGGATTGTTAACGACTGATATATATGATGGCGCTATTCATGTCTGTAGGTCATTCATGTCGATTACCGATGTCCATCAGGCGAGCCGTCAGCTTGTTTGTTATTCTAAATATCATAAAAAATTCAAATGCATAAAATTGTATTGTTTATAAGAAACGTCATCATTTAAGTAAACTATGATAACTATTCAGTGTGTAAGTCTAAAAATTAAAATTTATTACAGGCGGAAGAAAATTACTTACGATTCGGAGTCCGTGTGATTACAATATGCTTCGGCGTTACGGATACTTCTTTAATCATTGAATCTAAAACTGCGTCATACGACACTAAATTAAATGAAAGGCTGATGACAGCTCTGAAGGGCATGAAAGCACAACGGTACATGTTTGTTTTTTATTTTATTAATATACATTATGAAATTATAAAAGACGTGAATTTCTACAGGGAATAAAACTCTACAGAGAATTAAAACAAAATATAGCTGAAGTCTGTTTGGAGTGATAACGTTTGATCAGTATAATTGTAAAATTATTTGAATCTTTGTGATCACCACTCAATTGCTGTATATTAGAAATTTGTCTAACTTTAATGATTATTATTATACTAGTATACTAATTATCCTAACAGACGGTTTTCTATTAAAAGTTATTGTACGGGGAAAATAAATTGATTTCTTTCTTTTTTCAAACAGTTCGTTTAATTATTCTCTTTATAAAAAAAAAAATCTTGGACATTAAACGAATTTTTTTTTTAAGAAAAGTCCAATTAATTTAGCCGTTCTCAAGTTTTGCTCTTAGCAACACATAAATATTTAATATTTGTCTAGTACTTATAGTAACAAAATTATGATAAGTATTTATCACAAATTTATTACTAACAATTTAATATTATATATTTTTATCTTACTTATTTCAGCCCCGAATCAGCTGTGCGTGGTCTCTTGGAAGCTTACAAGAATGGTTCCAGCGGTAGTACATGGTTGATAATATCAGATAAGCCAGCAGAAGACATAACCGCCAACATCAACCAAGGTTATAAAATATTTTCACGAGGAGTATTTGAATAACATTATTGTTATATTGAAAAAAAAAAATCTTAATAAATATAAAATCTACGTTCTTAATCAGACCAAAATTTGTTATGAATATATTATATTGTATAAATTATTATAATTATAATATGAGTAAATTATAATAAGTTTACTAATGCCATCTTTTGGAGAAAACAATAAAGAGTATCTATCTATAATAAATCCTATTAAAATATAGATTTAAAAGATCATAAACATTGTTTGGATGTCTGTTACTCGATCAGAAATTAATTAATAAATGTATTTCTAATCGTAATTGATGACGATGAAGTGGTGTTATTCGTATCTATACACAGAAATTTCATTATATTTACCTTACAATACCATAGAATGTGAGAGAGTTCCCTCTTGTCTGGTAAATTAAATTGCGAATCTTTTTTAAACAACATATTCTAACAAAATAGACGTCATAAACATATTAGATACGTATTTTGCGACAAGTAGGTATGTTTTATTCTCCGTGTTTTACACTACATCCTCTTGGGTTAATTACGTAATGCTAAGGTATATTGCACTTCGAAAAACAATGTGAATAATGAATAATAACTACACACATACATACACGGTTGAGTTAATTATTTTTATAACGAAAGAAAAAGAAGGCGAGTCCTTTTTCAATTACTTTTTTTACATATACTGTTGCTCTTTCTTATATATGACATGAAAGAAAGTAATAGACAGTAATTCTTAGCTATATTTGTTTTGTTTAGAATTTATTAAAACATAATAAATTGGAGATCTATTCTTCCGGACTTTACCTTTTATATAGGATCAACACAGCGTATTTCACTTGGATTCTAAGCTGTATTCAGTCGTCTTGTTTATCACATCGTAAATGCTTGTCCAACATTAAATTTTTTGGGGTCTTTTTCTTCTTTTGAATTTAAAACTGGATATATCTATTCAATTTTAAATTCATTATTATTTATGTAAAATTATTCTCACAACTTGTTCTACAATCCTACCTAGTTAAACTCCATTCTCTTATCTTATAAATTACTGGTGCTACTTTCATGTATTGTACTTTCATGTACTCGTACGTGCTCGTTTCTAAAATCTAATCTACATATTTATCTTAGAATTCACAAAGTAAAGACAAACAATTTATATTAGCTTGTTATCATTATTTGATCAAATATTTGAATAAATTAGCGTTTTTGATGTAATAAATTCAAATAACGCTAGAAAAGTTTAGCATGGTAATTTACCACGATAAAACCTTCAGTGCTACTATATTAGTAATTTCAATATCAAGGTAACGCAGCGGAATTATGTTACCGGCTCTGTGTAAAAAGGTATAAGCATTTGTGCCAAGGCGATTAGAACTAGTTGCGGGGTAATTATTCCCTGTAATCAATACTAGTAAGTACTTAGGCTATGCATACAATACGTACCTAAATATGTATTTATTTATAAATACATACTTTAATATGAAATCAAAAAAGATATTCAGTAATGAATTAGGTATTTATTTAGTGTTAAAGTGAACACATATTTCAAAATCACTTCGGTACAGTATTATTGATCTTCATATAGGTATTAGCTACAAGAGATGAATATACATATATCTAATGTTTGACGTTTAAGCCAGGAATCCTTTAGTATGGAGGGTTTTGGATTTCATATCTTTGTTTCTCTTTGAGCTATTGCATTAATACTACTTAATCATTTAGCAAGATCGCTATAAGCAAATTGGATACTTCAAAAAATATTTATATAGAAACAGATAATTATTATGCTATTGTTCATTATATCCAAGACTAACATTACTCTCTTCAAATTTTTGTAAATTTATTTGATAGATACGTAGTTATGAAACGAATGGCTCACTTCATAAACTTATTCGATAAAAACATAATTACATCGAAGGTGAAGATATATTCTCGTAATTAGCTATAACCATTTTGATATATATATATATTGCCGTGTAGTTTCGACATAGAATGGGCCACCATTTCTTTACCCGTGGGTGGTGTAAAAGGCGACTAAAGGAACTCAACGTCGAGGGATGGGCATCAGTGTTCCTCTTAGGATATTACCAAATGCTTAAATGCTGTTGCCAACCCGCCTGCTAAGCGTGGCAACTACTAGCAAAGCCTCCCTCAAATGATTCTTCAATTCGATTTGGCCTACGTTCAACAGTGAACAGAAGACGGCTGAAAAGAATAATTACATCGAAGGCATAGTGAAACTTCTAGTTTCATATATTTACGTAATTATAACCAAACAAACTACAACCATTTTGATATTTATTACATTTTGATATTTATTATAAGTTGTAACTTGACGTATTTACGAGATTTTCGTGATCATAGAAAATTGTATTCGCTTTTGGTTTCGCCCGTAAATGTTGAACGAAATAAAAGAAATAGTTCATGCAGTAAATAATTTATTTTAAAAACCTCTTATTAATTATAACTCTTCGTAATCATTGTTTTGAATGTGAAATTAGGTATCTCTGCTTATACAGCTATTATCGATCATTATTGTCTTCCTGCATAACACATACTTTAACTATTTAGTTTCCTCAATACTTGAACAGTTTGATATGGCGTAATGCATCCGAGAAAATGAAATCTGGAATTATCGTACATTATGGAAGACCATACAAACTTTCTCTACACCAGACTAGTATTTTTTTTTATATTACAATTTTATTCAAATTAAAAATAAATACAGATTTACCTACAATCACAATATTAAAAAAAATATGGTAGATATTAAATCACCATAATAAATTAGTAGCAATAATTGAGAGAGAATATATTCGTAAAACGTAAAAGAGAACGTAGAATAGAAGAAAAAACTTTCTCAAATTTATTATACATGTATTTCTTTATACTACCTATCTAAAAATTCAAATATTCGAATCTCTAGATATTTTTCACTATATTTTATTAAATGAGAATAACTTGGTTAGCAAAAAAAAAAAAAAAACAGAAATCAGAACAAAAATAAAAGATCCAGATAATTACAATAATTAAAAAACTAAGTACATTAATATACTTTTTTTATTATTTTACTGTAAATTAAAAATGAACTTTTTATTTCTAACTTTAGCTCATTTGCTTATTTAAGTTGATCTCATTTAATACCAATTCGCCTACAGTTTTCACTAATAGTTAACGCGTTAATATAAACTTTAATAATTTCCTTGGGAAACAAACATATATCACTTCAATACATTTCTAAGATATGAATAGTTTTAATTCTATTTACATCGCAATTTATTCGGTTAGGATATTATAATTTTTATTTTTCTAAAATACGAAATTAATTCGATTATTCGTAGAACAATAATTTCTTATTATACTGAACGTGACCAAATGCTTGTAAAATTTTATCATTATCATTGTATTAGTTAACTTCATATATAATTCATATCAATTGTACCATATTGGGAACACAAACTGAATATTACAAATAAGGGTACAATTTTCTAATTTCTTTAATTGAACATGAGTAGTTCTTACAAAAATGGCAGTTTCATATCACGTATACGAATTTAGATCAACATTATAAGAACACAAGTTTTTAATATATCTGAACAATTTATTTTTCAATAAACAGATTTATTGCCGCGTTATCCACACTAATATTTAATTATATCTTATATTCCATGTTTATATAACGAACCTCGAATAGTAGACACTACAAAATCTTATTTATATACAACATGTTCAATCACAATCACATGTTCTCGAATTGTGCTTCCAATCGATCGGTCAAACATTCAATGCATACTTTGTGCGTTTACATTAGTTTGTCATATCAGACGTTAAATGCATTTACGGCGTTCTTATTCACGTCAATGTGATATTTAAATAAAAACAAACGTCCTTATACACTACTAACTATTGTCCGTAATTTTTTAGCTTTAGTTGAAACTAAATGTAATTAAGAGAAAATTTTATTTTCAAGAAATGTCTTTGGCAAATGCAAATTTTAATTAGACGAGTTTTATTATAATTAAAGTATAAATTGCTTCTTTTTTAGTTATTATTCTTCATAACTTTTGCTTACCAAAGTATGGCAACGTTAAATTATGTGCAAATTTAAAAAAAATATTTTATTAATTTTCAGTGTTTTCGATTGATTATTTAAAAAATGCTCTGCTAGCGAACATTAATCGTAAAATAATATACCTATAAAACTATAGCTGAAAATTTGAATTTTAATACCAGAGAAGTATTTGAAAAATTCCAAAGCAAAATAAGAAGTGAGTGTAAAATTTTTAGTGAAAGATTTATTTATTTATCCTTTATTGCACAATGCATGCACCTTTATTGCAACCAATCGGAAACATTGAAAATTGTTTAAATGTTTTTAAAAATTACCAGGTAGTTTTAATATGGCCACACCTTGGTAAGCAAAAGTATAATTGATTTTATTTATATAATGGAACAAATTGTCATCTCCAAGTCATAAAAAGGGACTTATTGGCCACCGATCGACCGCACTTGGTCCGATATATAATTCTTTGCCCTAACAATACTTACTACTTATTTCATATTTACATCGTCGTAGACTCAACATTTGAAGGAACCCTTATTAATACAATAATCTCTATTATTACAGACTACGAGGACACCCCAATTCAATAAGATTTTTAGACCATATTTAGAATATTACTTATTCCTCCTAAATCTTTGATTGTGTTTAACATGTGTATTTCAAACGTTATTTGCTTATTACTTATTACTTGAAGACGTTTTTTGTTTATTGTTCTGTATAGAACAATTGTTCTGTCGAATAATAGCTATGTTGAGTCATGAGTCATGCTTCATTATAACTATTTATGTCGGCGTCACTCCCGTTTTCAAATTCGTAAAAACAATTAAGTTCATGTCGTGTACGAAACTTGTCGAGCCTTACATAATTCTAAAATATGAATAAAGCTGATATGAATAAATGAATAATTTAAACATTTCTTTTATTTACTTAAATTGAATTTTTAAAAGATGAAGAAATAATTTTGGATATTATTGCTTTGTTTACGAAAAAACGCCGTTAAGTATAACTTGTACATTAAGTATAACATAACTGATTGAAATACTCATGTAAATACAATTAGCTTTCCCAAATCTCATCAAGAGATCACATTCTCAAAGTCCTCGAAAGCCAAAATTTAACAAAGATAGTGGACTCCATGCGGGAAACCGGTCACACAGTGGTGACCCTGTCGATTTCCACGTATCGCACGGAGTCCTCGCTTGGTCAGCAAATCACTTCTTTCTCGTCGAAAATCCCGGTGTCTGAGGAGATACTTTTGAGCCGCTGTTGCAGAGCTGAACGGCGGCGGCGGCAGGAACGCGTTGCCGCTATCTGGAATTTGATTTTCTTTTTTGATAAAAGTTACGATGAATCTATAGTAAATATCTATTGGTAACTAATTTCTTTAATGATACAATAATATATAAATACTTGAAGTACCGTTTTCTTAAGATTATAATTAGTTTTTTTTTTTTTTGTGAAACATGGCCTTTTCTACTTTAATAGCATAAAATAAAGTCACTATTCTATCCACCTCTGATAAAATAAGCGAAGCAACAATTTTCCGCTTATTTTTTCTGAACTACCTAGTGGATTTTAATATGGATATCAATGCCATTATTTTTTTTTTTTATGGAAGGTATGCACTTGTTCGTATCTAGTAATTCATGCCCACGTAAAGTTGGGGTGAATTGCTAATAAATTATATTACAATAATCTCAGTATGGGGGGAAAGGGATTATTAACAATGGAGTTTGACAGCCCCATTGCTAGCAGTATGCCTTATTAGGTCGACCTCCACGTGGTTCCCCCTGGAAACCATCGTGAACAATTCTTGTTGAATTCGTCATGATAACTGACCTACTTCATCCTCACCTATCATCCTTCACTGGTGCCCCGCCGGTGTATACCGATTTATTCCATTATCATCCATTAAAAAAAATTAGTATTATTCACAGTTTTTTTTATCCATCAAAATTAGTCTTTCACATTAAAATGTTGGCAATACTGACCACAGCAAAGGCCGCAAGAATGGTGAATGCCAACATTGCGGCAGCATAGTGCGCCGGCACCCGCAGTAGTGCGGAACACTGGGACAGCCGCTCGTCTTCTCCATGTGGACACTGGACCACACCATCACACCATAGTGCTGGTGCTATACAGGCGTCTAACGATGCGCAGCGGTACTCGCAATCGCCTGATAAAGCGAATACTCCACCACGTGCACTAGCATGTCTGTAAGCGGGAGATTTGTGTAAATTTAAAAGACAACGAAATTAGCGAATACTTTTTTCTGAATGGATACCTGTACTTGGGAGTAGTAAAAGTAGGAATTGTTGAAGCAGAAGAGGTTATTGACACGTAATAAAAAATTGGCAATGAATAATAAAAAAAATTTTTGGCAATAATTTTTACTTGTTTCAACGATACTTTATACAAGGAGAAGGCCTCGCTATGATCATGACAGTGTCCTGTGAGTTCATGTATTGAAAATAATTATATTTTCAGATAAGCTATATGTATGAACATCGAGTCGTATAAAAAACAGGTATATTACGTTACCTACAATTTTTCTGTCTTGTCACCATTAATTGTGCTTAGAAATAAAATTTCAAACTTAATAAGGGCACCTAGTAATCCTAATAATGGTTATTGATAAATAGTTGGAAAATATCCTTTTCTAATATTTTTTTTTTTGAACGTTTCACATGGCATAGAATGGAACACCCCTGCCTTTCCCGTGCATGTCATAAGAAGCGACTAAGGGAACTTAATAGTCGAGGGATGGTCAGCAGTGTTTCTCTTAAAATATCACCAAAGCCCAACTGCGGTTGCCAACTCGCCTGCCAAGCGTGGCAACTACTGGCAATAGCCCCCCTTATGGGGGAAGCCTATATTCGGCAGTGGACAATTAACAGCTGATACAATATAATAATTCCTTTTCTAATAGACAAAGATTCATATTGGATGGTTAATGGAATATAAATAGCTCGTTATCATGATTAACCTGTTCACCTATGCACATAGAGTTCATTTAGATTTTTGTAATATTGCTGATCTTGACTCATTATTTTAATTAGCAGTTACATACATACATATCTGTCACACTTGTCTCCCTAATGGGTAGGCAGAAACAAGAGAAAAATTTTCTCTCTCTCTTCAATCGTACATACTCGACAGAGTGATCGTGGGTTTTATGATTATAGTGGAAAGCCGATGAGGCCCTTCTTTGCAATTGAGGTCCTCGCAATGTGTCTCCGTCTACTGCTCACAACCAGTGAGAGCATTCCACAATAGACTGCCGTGTGGGCGCTTTGATGAGGTCATTCCATCGCGTTAGTGATCTATCTCAAGAACGTTTGCCTTGTACCGATCCTTGGACAATTAAACGTTCCATACAGTTTTCATATGGCCGAAGTACTTGAGAATGGAAACACAGTTCTCACTAAATAATAAGCAAAGGAATGTTTTCGATCTTTAATACAAATAAGTACCTAAGTACATTATTTATGTCAATACTGTTTTATTTTTATTAATGATAATCATGATTATCTAATATTATGACTAAAAATTTTGTTATAAGAAAATCTGTATTACGAAGGTTATCGTTTAACATTTTAATTGTTGAATAATTTTATTAATGATAATTCAGAAACTGAATATTCAAGATTCTGAGCGCAATGATTCAGCATGTAATATCTAATGGCGGATCGATTTAGATTCAGAATTTTAGTAGTGATTTTCCACATTATATTCCAACCAATTTGAATAAAATATCAGTTGTAGGCAAAATAGACTTTATATAATTGATATTCTTGTAATCACTATGTATATAAAATAACGAATAAAAATTTTTCGCTTCTGTTGCACTCTAATTTAGTCTTTTAGATCATTCGGTATTCAGTAGAGAGAGAAAGAGAGTATTAGTATATCATGTCAACTGTATTTTTTAAGTTTATATAACGTATGTATTATCTTTGACTATATTGAATCAATTTGTTATTTTTTTTAAGGTTTCGTACCAAAACAATGGTGCGACATGGTTCGTTCGTCTGTTGCAGTAATTACTAACGTTATCAATTTGAAATTTGAAATAGTTTTACATGTTATTGGCCCATACATATTACAGTGGAAATAATTGAATTATTATTTTTTTTTTTTGCTAGAGGGTCAGAATAGTGTATTTGTATTAAAAAAAAAAACTTAAATTATAATTTGCGTGTTTAATATTGACTGAATACAGAACTGTTTACTATTTCAATAAAAACTTTATCATCTATTAAAAGCAAATAAAGTATTCCATTATAGGTACTCAAAATTTTCAAAATTGATCTACTGGTGCAAGTAGTATATTAAATGAAAAGGCTTCATTTGTACATTTTAAAGCTGATTTCTATTTATTTTTATGCTGCGTAGTTTTTTAATTATGATCAAAAATATGGGGAAAAGCCGTCACCCCATTATCTTCGAAGTTAATAAAGCGAAAAATCTGAAATAATTATAGTTTCTAATTGGCACCGTTTTTGGAAAATTATCAAAAGAAAACAAAGTTATATGGTCCAGTATTTTACCACAATTATTATTTTTTTATTTATTCTTTATTTTTTTAATTATAGCCCATAATAAGAAATTACAAATTGTAGTATCAATAATAATAACTATTAGGTGTTTACTTAATGTGAGAAATACAATAAAGAACATTTTATCGAATAAATACACATTTATGTACGGAACTTTCGAGTGTGAGTTCAACTCTCGCATGACATCTTTTATTTTTTAAAATGTTTATTCCTGTTGTTAGTTTTTCTTTAATAAATTTTAAATTACACTCAACAGTCATTGTATCTTTAGAGTTAGATTTAACTGTTTGATATTTACAATGTTACTAGGGAAAGTCAGAGGCGTGTTACGAAACTGATTGCGTATATTAACGCAATGTACAGGATAACAGTAATATTGGATTTCAATATTTTCCAATGATTATTGTTTTGATGGTTCGTTCCGTTTAATTAAATGTTCATTGTCGTTGTCGTAGGAAATAGTGTTTGTAAATTATTTTCGTAACTATAAAAGAATTGTTGTGTTGTTTCACAAAACGAACTTTGAAAGAACCGTTGAAAATTTGAAATTTATTTATTTATTTATTTATTTACATTTTATTGCACCAAGTAAAAAGAGAAATAACAAATACAGTAAATATATAGATATAGATAAGATACCATATTTTAAAGTATTCGGTTATTTTAAGCAATTCTTGAGAAAGGGCGGTAGAAAAACTGAAAAAAAAATAGCGATAAATCAATTGCCAGATGTATTTTTATATATATTTTTTTTTTGAATAAAAAAATATTAATAATTTTTTTTTTCAAATTGATATGATTTCCTTCACTTTTACCCAAGTCTCGGTTTCACTAAACTAAATTTTCCAAAAATTACCAAATCATTATTTCTCCAAACTTATTTAATATTTTTCCATAAATTTCTCGAATTATTTAAATTTTACATATTTCGCAAACACAAAAAAATTCTCCAAAATTGTGAAAAAATATGCAATCTGGCAATACTGTGAGTGTGAGAGAGAAGAATATGATATAAGGATACGAGTATAATTAGAGTATTTAGAGTAATTTTTGCTCATAAAAAAGGACAAGGCGTTTCAATTACTACATCACCAGAATTATTTACTAGAGGATGACTCTACACAAAAGTCATTTACTTGGGTATGGTATACACGAATGGAACAGTATCCCATTCGTGTTTCTACTGTGAAGCAGTTGTGTTTGCATGACTGTGTTTTAGTCTCGGATGGTAATGGCAGTGAATTTATATGATACAGAGGCATAACACCTTAGTCCTCCGGAATAGCAACGGTATCATGGTCGAAACAGTATACTCTATTAAGTACATGGTACTGTTCATGTCTATACGTGACGGCTACCATTTTCCATCAGGAGGGCCGTCAGCTTAGTAGCCATTCTAAGTTAAATAAAAAAAATTGAAATGATGTAAATAATGCGAATAACACTAAAAGCATCAAACTTAACAAAGTTATATTCAAACTTTGTACCTAGCATGTATGCTTCATATATACAGCTTATATAACAGTAGTAGTAAGTAAACAATTGTAATGTTTTTGCTTATAAAACTCCTATTTTCAATTATATTCCAGGCCCTCTAGACAATTGATAAGCGAATTCGTCGATGGAATCGACATCGCTAGTGAGTCCATGATACAGAATTAGATAGCAACGCCGGATGACTCATTCCAACTCACGGACTTGCTAGCGATGTCGATTCCATCGACGAATTCGTTTGCCACTTGTCCAGAAGCTCTGGTATTTCAATGATTAGAATTCTACTAGAATTAGAATTTAAGAAGATGTAAAAAGGATTGATTTAAAGAAAATTCTAAAAATAATCTTATGCCATACAAGAATGTAGATTCTTAAAAACTTACCTTCTAGAAAGCTCCAGCCATGTGACATAATAGGAGCCAGTGTTTATGGCAATGAGCTCGACAGACAAAGACCTCGGCCAGTCCAGATCGAAGCGGTCTGGTGAAGGCGCAGGCGCGAGTACATGCCGAGCTAACGGGTCTACTTCCTTGGACCATCCATCTGAGAATATTTCTACTAATTCTTCATTCTGTAAATAATATAATTTAACATAAGCAAAAATTATGTTTTTCTTCTTAATTTTGCTAAAAGAGATAAATGAGTACGACTGTAGTATCGTATATCATCTGACGATCAGTATGTTTTTTTAATACTAACTTGGTAAGTATTAAAAAAAAACAATCGTTTTGAAGGGTGGGATATAGCAATGAAATTATTAGGTACAGAGGCATAACGCCTTAGTCCTCAAGAATGGAAATGCATGAAGGGTATCATGGGCGTAGTAAAAAAATTCTTTGATCAACAAGGATTTAAATTTTTCAAGGAAACAAATTTTTAAATGTTGATTTTAACAATACTATAGATGTAACAGAAAATACCCTAGTACCCTTGCTACGTCTCATGTGTTGTAATTTCTTAGGTGTTACGATATTACTATTAAATATTAGGTATTACGAGGTTAGCGATTAATACATCAGTTAAGACCTTTCAAACCTCACAATAAAAGAGCATGCATTCTTGTTTCAATGGAATTCATCAAGCAAAATCATACAAATCTTACGTCACTTAATACAAAATAACTACCAACTTACGATGAAATAAAGATGCAAACCTGTTCATCAGGCGGATCAGGGCATATAAATATTGGCCACAATCCTCCAGCGTACACTGCGATACGATTCGGTGTTCTACACAAATGTCGCAAATCAGGTGCTACAGTTATATTGTTGAGAAGGAGTAAAGTTGTCGAGTTCAGGTTCTTTGATTATACTGCCACGAATTTGGAGGTAAAGATATCTCCCAGGGGAAGGATCGATGAGCCAAGGCCGATGATCACAGCGATCCTAGAATTTAATATATACAAATTTACAATAAATACGAAAAAAAAATACAGTAGAAAAAGTTGAAGTAAACATTATGAAAGCGAAATTCTGCGTAATATGCGTAATAGGATGTAACCTACTTAAACAAAAGTTTATATAACGTAGAATTTCTATAATCGAATTTTAACACACAAGACAAATTTTATAAGAGATCAACCTTTATCAACTTATTCTTTTATTAATTTATCTTATTAATTTTTATACTTAATTCAATAATAATAAAGATATTAATTTTTTTTATCTGTATTAAACAATGCAAATTTAATCGTTAACTGTCCACTGCTGGACATAAACCTTCCCCATAAAAGGAGTTTAGCCAGTAGTTGCCACGCTTGACAGGCGGGTTGGCAAATGCAGTTAAGTCTTTGAGTATGTTTTAAGAGGGACGCTGCTGCCCATCCCTTGCCCTTCCTTACTCGCCTCTTCGCCCACGGGAAAGGAAAGGATGGCCCATTCTATGCCGGGGCACACACGGTGAAATTTTTTAACTACGGATTTATTTTCTCTGGCCTACTTGTAGTCCAATACTTAATTCTTTATTCGTCTTCTTTACAATCTTATTTTTATAACACAAATAAACTATTAATGCACATTTTGATAATCATTTTCTTATCGTAAAATGTTAATTAATTTTACAAAGAACTATTTTAAATTAATACATGTGCTTTAATATAGGTTTCATAAAATATACACGATTTATCTACTACTGTATATAATAGAACAGTCTAGTAATGTCCCATAAAGAGTGGCGCAGGGACACCTTACTCAACTGTTATGACTACATGTGTCAATAGACGTTGATTATAATTATTAATAGTCCACATTTATTATAATTATATTATCAATATTGTCCCTTTCCTTTGACTAAAGTAGTTACATATACAATATAGATTTAGGGAATCTACTTTCATACCTTCCAAAACTACATTTTTAGTAAGTATTGAATTCTTATATGCGTAAACATATGTACATTATAGTGAAATTATTCTATAATTTAACAATTAATTTTAACAAACAAATAGATATCATACCGATTCGGCCATAGATTGCGTGGACGCTAGTCTCAAATCTCCACTAGCTCCAAATACTCTATGCGTGCTCTCACATTGAACGTCGACTCTAACGAACTCAACTGATGCTTCAAAACCAAAAGAGCGGAAGTCATCTACTGACGACATATTGACGACATCGAATTTCAGTTCTGCTACCGTTGATGAAGATGTGAATTCATAATCGCCAGTATCACTGAAATCATGCACAAAAATTATATAACAATAGCTAATGTTTACTAATCAATCAATTAACTAGCAAACAATTATGTGTATATTATGCATAATAAACGTTAGAAATTAATACATATTTACGTAATTACAAAATGTTCGATCTTCTCAATAGAATTTTTGTTTTTAATACAAGTACAAATAGTCTATTCAATGTCTCGTCAACTCATAAGAAATCTAACATTGTCATTGTCGTCGAGAACATTTTTTAAATATTACATAAAATTGTAATTAACACCATATTGTTATATTTACAATACAGTATACTGCTAGTACCTGCACAAACAGTCTCTCGGTATCCTTGGGCCTGCATTATTCCAAGGTCTATCGAAGACCCTGACAGCTGCAGTAGGATCCCCCGCGCACCTGTACCAAGCTGAATGCGCTGAATGTACAGAACGACACAATCGGCCACCGCTTCGCACTCCCCATACTCGAAGCCGGACCACTTCTCCGGGATTTGCCTCAAACCGGTATGTACAACTGGAATTTGAAATAATCACAGGTTAAAGATAGTAAGCTTATGGGCTTTTAGATTAGTTTAGATTGGCTGAGTTAATTTGCTTAAAATGGCTACTTTGATAAATAAACCAACACAGCATTTTGTTATTTTTATCTTTATGGCTAAATTGCTATATGAGGATTATTTATCGTTATTAAGAATAACTGTCAATTAAATTACCTAATGTTCCTTGATCCTCCTCGTCCGTATAAAAATACATCCCTTGGAGAAGAGAAAGTCACAGGAGGATCAGGTGGAGCTTCTGGAAAAGAGCGTGATGTAAACCGTCTTGAACAAGCACCACGTCCCCATTGTTCACCATCTTGATGTAAATCAACAAACTCGTAAAGTGCTTTGAAGAATATAGGCCTGAAATGTAAAGACACAAAATTAAAATATTTAAAAGAATACATAATTAATAATTATATTTGTGCAAGAATATAATTGCATATAGACAATAATAAACTTAATTATAAATAGGCAGTTTGGACAGTTAATAATTGCTCTTGTAATATTTTACAAATTTCGGTCTACGCCAATAGCGGACACGGGATTATAAATTTTTCTACTTTTAGTAAAATGAAACCATTTTATAAATAAATATCTTACTTTAAAGCTGTTCCTTGTGTCAGTTTGAGTTCAAGTGTCAATGAATCTCCTTTTGATAAAAAACTTTCAGTACGCGCGCAAGCCCTGGATTTTCTCAACAAAGCATGTTCACATGTACGCGGGGCGCGCTCTCGACAAAACCTCGCTACAAGCGTCGCATTTGTTGGTGGACGACCGACAATTACTGATTGAGGTGAAGTAGCTCTTGACATCTGCACTGATCTCTCTTTGTCGCTGTAACATAATAATCGCACAATATTCTAACAATTCTCATAAACAAACATGTATATTGTGGCTAAGTGTGAGCATAATAAAATTCGAACTAACAAAACTCCAACTTCGGTAATTAGTGAACATTCCTATTGTAACATTTTACAAATAACTTTTGTGTTATGGTTCAGTTAATGTTTACACAATTTGCAATACACTATTGTTATATGTTCAGGTTAAAAGAAGAGTACTTTTTAGAAGGAGGCTTTATACAAAAATCGTTTGCTTGGATACCTGTGTCCCATTCGTGTTTCAACCGTGAATCAGTTCTGTTTGCATGGCTGTTTTCGGTTTGAGAAGTGGGATATGGCAGTGAATTTACAGGGTACAGAGGCATAACACCTTATTTCTCAGGAATGGTAATGCATGGGAGATATTATGAGTAAAACAGAATATTCTGTTATATCCATGGTACTGCTCATGTCTATAGACGACGGTTATCACTATCTATCAGGTGGGCCATCAGCTTGTAAAAGTTGTATAAAAAAAAAGAATAATAATTATGCAAAATATGTAAAAATGATTTAATGTTACTGTTAAAAGTTGATATGAAATCTATAATCCAAGTACCTGTATTTTTGACTAGCGATTGGGCCTCTCGTCACATGAATAGATAGAATTTTCAAGAGTCTACGTTACTCGTTGATGATGAAGATTTATTTCTATAGATGAAATAATTTTTATAATTGGTCGAGTAGTTTTTGAGTTTTTCCAATACAAAGAAACAATCGAATCCTTTTTATATTATAATATTATATATTACTATTGACTTGCAGTTGTCTCAAGTAATTTAAAATAATATTTCAGTTACACAGAGCATAAAATATCAACTGAGGTAATAAAAAAACTTTTAACTTTTAACATCTTTTTATTAGTAAGAATAAGGATAAGCATAATACCAAATTCGTTTGATAGATAGTGAAGTAGCAAAAATATGCAAAAGATATCAAAGTTAGCGTTTGAACTTACCAAAATATATCACTGCACCCGGGCGATATTCTCATTGGACCATCCCATATATTCAAATGGCTTCCGCAGTACTCATCCTCTGGCAAGTTCGGATTGAGAGCATTTGTTACATAAAATTTCAATACAGAAAACCATACTTTGAATCTGGGAGCTGAAAATGACGTTCTTCTATAAATTATATTTCTTCCAGATGGGCCTGAAGTATCGATTCCTTGCATGTGATATAAGCAAGTTGTGTTTGGAGGCAATGAATGTTGCGGGTGTTCCAATACACCCCTTCCAGTTCCCCTAATCCAAAATTCACAAGCTCTTTTATTTTTTGCATATGTGGGCGATTGTTGATCCACAAACCTGACCTGGAAATAGTTGAATACGAGTTAAACGCAATAAAATCCCGTATGATCGTTTCATAATATCAGAGGGTGATAAAGTAACAAATATTATTCCTATATACATTATTGTAAAAATACGAGTCCATTGCTTTGATAGTATAAAATCAATACGAATTTCTAACATAGTAACAGAACAAAAAACAAGGGTTTGCCCTTAATTCGCAACTTAAAACAATGCAATTGCTTGCCATAGCTTGCTGGCTCTATTATTGTGACCGAACTGTGCAGGCCTACGGTACTAATTATACTTTGGCACACACCCAGACGAGGCCTCCAGGGCGTTACTTGATTTATTATTGTTCACTGAGAGCGAAACACTTTAAATAACACTCCATAATGATATATTACTCCATTAACCCAATTTTGGCCGTATGCGTAGATGGATTAGAATTTAGAAAAGTTAATAGTTTCCTTTCTTTAAAGAAAAGCTTATGCCAAAGTGAATGTAATGGAATTTTAAATTAAATAAATACATAAATAATAAATCTAGACTCAGAAGAAGAAGATATTAATGATAGACGAGTACATTTTACCGACTGTTATGGAATTTTCTTCAACAAATCAAGTATCGTTTCTGAAACTCAATACTGTACTAGCAAGTAAAGTTTAACTTGTCTGAGTGTGTAATAATTTTAATTATTTTAAATGTGAAACAATGTTCTCATTGCAGAATTTTGACGATAAGAAGATAAATGAATTTGGAAAGATAAGTAATAATATAATAATAAATATAATAAAAATAATTAAATCTAGGATATATAGTTTCCGTAGATATTTCATCAAACAATACATAATTTCATAGAAGTTTACCTCAACTTCTAACTGAAAACCGTGCAGCGACTGCGAAGTTGCTGGTTGCAAGAACGTTCCAAATGGCGAAGTTGTGAATTCCACTAACAACTCGGGACCACTTGATATTGCTTCTGGTACAGATACCCCTCCACCACAGAACCTTAAAATCACCGGATCCCTGGTCGTATAGCCATCATACACAGTTACGTAATCTTGTACTTCATCACATTGCTGCCAAAATTTCAGTTCCCTTCCATTATTTCCTCTATCTTGTTGTGCTGCATACAAAGCCTTCTGACTTCTAATAGAGACTAGTTGCCCATTTGGCTGTTTTACGACGATTAAGGCATGCTTTCCCTGAGGTACTTCATGTTGTCTTACTGCATAATAACAAGTTAAGTTTCTAGGATAAACGCCTGGAAAATTGGGCGACTGTAACCTACAGTTTTTACGATCACAGTCACTGAATATACGCGAGCAATAAGTCCCTGAGATCAGATCCCCGAGGTAATGCTCCGGGGTTTTTGTCGCTTTTCCGATATTCGTATCTTCACCACGTGATATGTTTACGGGATAAGGCAGTGGTCTTAGTTTAAAGAAGGGTCGTTCTGAAAATACAAATTCACAAACGTTAAAATCGTTAAAACTATTAAATAATTAAATACCAGAAAATCCATTTTGCTTCATTCCCTTATCCACGAGATAAAATAATAAATAATTCAGAGTGATTTTCAGCATCTATAAATCAGTATGTAATCTGGGGCACAGGCTAGAACTGAGACAAATCCCAATGGTAACAAATGTGAAATGTTTATGGTCCTTTATTACGTTTCACTGCTTTAGTATAAAATCATACTTACTAGATAGCTACGAGAGTAGCAAATAAAATAAATATTCTTTTTCGTAAAATAATATCATGAAACCTACACATATGCTTCAACGCATTCATTGATTGATTTGTGCATGATTTTGATACTCATTTACATATCTAACGTAACTAAATATCTACAAGTGAAATGCTATCCCATCCGGAATAAATAAGCGACATTGGCAATATCAAAATAGGAAATACCCAATAAAAACACATTCGTCACGTCTTATTTGATTTACTTACCCGAAGGCGGTGTCCCCCCATACCGCACTGTTGCATACTCTTTTCGCAAAACCTTATACGCCATACGGAAATTGAAATTGTAATTATTCTGCTCTTTAGATAGATGTAGGAGTCTTATAATTAGGGTTATGGATTTAGTTTCGCTGTAGTATATTGATGGACCCCATGATGTACCGCACCAAGAGCCCCCAACTTGGGGTCGACTGGTTTCTTGGATCTGCATGTAGCCATCTGGGCAACCATCTTCGGTGAATGATATAAAGCGGCCAAGCGTGAAGCTATCAAATAGTACCTGTCGACAATGATTATAATTAATTCTTTGAACGACATGAATACGCCAGTAGATATTCAAAGTTATTATTAGCTAGGCAAAGTTACACGGAGGTATTAATTTGCTCGTGTTGATGTCAGATATATACAAGTTCCTAAGAGTATGTAGTCATAGATAATGTCTTTATATAATATTAATAAATTTACATGTAGGTATTATAAAGTTTTAAATGATGCTGATTTTATCTTGCTTTAAAACAAATTAGGTATATTTTTGCAAAAACGAAATTATTAAGACATGATACAATTAATTAGGGACCAACATATGAACAAAATTTATGAATTGCAAAAACAATTATTAAATCTGATCAGAATTGACACATGCATCACATAATACACACTAAAAAAATTGTACCTACAATAGGAGAATGGTAAATTTCTAATGTTGAAAGTTACTTAAAAATAGTATATAGGACAACGTCGGTCGGCAATGCGTACGTGACACCTCTAGTGTTGTAGGCGTCCATGGGCTACAGTAACCGTTTACCATCAGATGGGTATGTATGCTTGTCTGCCACCTTTGTAATATAAAAAAAAAATGATCACCTACTAATTGCCTATTACTAATCTATATTGTGACATTATCACGCTCACCAAGCAGCATAATATAAAAGGGTATTATTGTAAATTTTCCTTCTCTTACTATTATGGTATTTATATTTTCTACCCCTAATTTCTTTTAACAATATTCTGAGAATAAAAAAGAGTGGTAACACATTGTATTCAAACTCTGTCATTACCTTGATTAGATTTAGTTTAATGAAAGTGCCAAGTAACAACTAAAAGCTTATGTTAATAATAATCGACACCCATTGCTCAACAATTTCGTATATTTTAATGTATTATTAGAATATCATAGCAGATGTCAACCCTCTCTTGGCGCTCGAGTAAATTCGAGCAACTCTAAGCGCTTACGTAATGGATCAATTAAATTTGCAGACCACTTTCAATGGGGCAATTATAATAAAAGAGCAAGTCGTGAAATTTAATGACGCACCTACCATGCGAAATAGGCTGCCAGTTATATATATGTATGTATGTTATGGTAAGAAATTGTGTACCATTTTCATATGGTTCAGTTTATTGGGTTACATTTATATTATTATGGTATACTACTATGACTTCGTCTGCATAAAACTGACTTTTATATCCTCTACTTGAGAAATGACATATTACACACTTTATACACACTTTCATCCCCTATTATACTTATTTTAAGTTTTATTTTGTGTTCATTTCACGACAAAAGAGGAAAATTAATAACATAATTTTTAATAAATATTTTTAATAGAATTCATTCAATTTCGGCTATTATTCGAATTTGATGCCATTCAAGTTTGAAGTTCTTTATCTCCAGTTTTCATGAAAACGGAATATAACGTATAAATAAATTATTGTTAGTAAAAGATGCTACGCTATAAAGTAACTTTAGCTGTATTAAGATTCCCAAATTTTGAAATCCCAAAATAGAAGTAAGTGTATCAAATAATATGTTGCTAGCTATAGAAATTTAGTCTGTATAAATTACAGTCTGGCGATTGCTAACAATATACTCTTTGTCAAGCTAACTTCTATATGAAAACCACCGTGGTTTATTCCTAGTGAATTTTTTACGATGAGTTACCTAACCTAATTTCATCGTCTCTTATCCCTCATTGGTACGCCGCCAGCGTAAACCATCTGTAAATTGCAGAGACGGGATTACTATTCCATTTTTATCCATTTCAAAATCCGCTGTGATTTAGACCGTCTATATATAACTTATTCGTATATAATTCTATAGATAGGTTATATCAAAATAGGTGAATCAGAGCGGTTGCGAATATTCATAAATATAAGAAAATAAATTAAATAGATATTATTAATAAATTGAAAAATCGATTATAAATTAACAGAAAAATAATATTATGTTGCAAACTTTTTAATGAACTAGAATAATAATAATAATATAACATAATGCTATAATAATAATAAAAATAATATATATACAAAATCCTACATAATATTAATGTGGTAATTTAGAGACTTACATCATGCTTAATTATACCTGATATTAAAAATGTACATAGAATACTTAGACACTTTAATTTTAAATTATTAATAATAATAAGTAATAATAATTTTGTTGCGACCTCCAGTGTATTAATGCTACTTGTATTTGAGAATCACAGTCGAAAATAATTTTGCAGTAACAATATGATTGTAATTTGGATGAAATTCTTGCAATACGATACCAACAGAGGTAGAGATGGACTTTTTTTTAATACATTTCTTTTAAAAATAAAAAGAAATAAATCATTGCAAGCGAGTCACATCACATTCGCTTCGTTCATTCAGAAAATTCGATTTCATAGCAGCAAGCCTTCGCAGCTCTTTGATGAAATTTAAATGTGACGAGCGACACGTTGCGTTGTGGCGTTTCAATTTGTGTACCGGAAATAAACTTCTCGAAGTGAGATCTGTCTAGACGGTACTATCAAATAATAGAAACTCAAACGTATCAATCTTAATGTTTTTATTATTGAATTAAAGGATAAAATCCCCTTAAAAGACCACCTTCACTTATTATGTCCTGTTAATATCGAATGTTTGTAATTTTTGACGTCAGTCACACTTAAAAGGCTTGATAGGTTTGTACAAAATTTCATATAAGATATATATTTTAGCCTATTTCATGTAAGCCAAGAGATGTATCTGGGTAAATATTTGGAGGATTGTTAGTACCTAAAGGGGATATAATAACCCCATTGCTAGCAATATACGCTATCAGGTTTACCTTTACGCGGTTCCCCTAGAAAAAATTCAAACATTTTTTTTTTATTTTAATTTTAATATAAATACATTTTTATAAAGTATCTATTCTCACATACATTTGTGTTGTATCATTATAATATAGGAAGGTGCGATAAAGGAAATAAAAAATACAATAACCTTTCTTCCTTTCACGCACTTATTCTCCCAACAAATTCCGAATTCTAAACCCGACAGAAAACTTTATTTTCTTTTATGTTTCCACAAAAAAAAAGTCGAACATTTATGGCGGATGTTAAACAATTGTTTGCGTGAAAATTTGTTTCCATGCCCTTGCATCCTGGGGTTAATTTGTATAAATATCTCATGCTCTTTTTGATAGCAAGTGAAATCTAAAAATTTCTTAAATACACAAATAAAACGACCAGCTTTATAAATCTGTAATTTTTTTTTTTAATTCAGCAATCATTATTTTATCTCAAAAAAAAAAAAAAACTTGCGATAGACGGATGTTCAATACGTACTTAGATGTCTTTTTACAAAAGCGTGTCTGATATGTCTTTATGTGTAAACCAATGAAAGTGTATATTAATATATGTAAAAACAAAAGAAATTGAAAGTAGTAAGTTTTATTTAAAATAATTTAATAGATTTGGGACATAAAATAATAAATAAATAATATTATACCAATTAAACAATGTTCAACCACTTAGGCAGTTTTGTTAAACATTTAACCTTACACAGGCTTTATTTTAAATTACTTTTTGTGGTAAGACCGTTAATGTTTTAAAATTATCGTTTTATAATAAAAAAAAAAGATAAAACAACTTATGCCAATGCAGATATTATAGGGATGAAAATATACGGAATAGCTCCTGAGTAGATACCAGATTTATTTTGTTCCTTTGAGAATTTCCAAAATCCCTTTCCTCGTTAATACGTATATAGATCACATCAACAAACCTTTGGGAAAATTTCGAGTTATAAACTAGTTGATTACGCTTTTGATATATAGCTATATTACATATACGATTTCACAGTTAGTTGTAACCCTTAACCTTTTAAAACTTTATATATAAATAGATATGTCAATATTTGTCATGTTTCGGACCAATTTCAGTAAAAACTAAAACTAATTAAGAGAGAGAGAGGTGTGTATATAACAGATAGACTTACCACAGAAATATTTTAAAATTGATGCTCTAAGTATGTAGTTTATGTCACTATAGATAGATAGATTATCTATATTTAATATTTGCGTCTGTGTATTAAATGTTTATACTTCTATATCACAATTAAGAGTTAGTTGCAAGTTTTGATCAATGTTTGTTATAAACAAAGATTTAAAGCAAACAAAGAACTAATGGTTTTTTGTTTGACCTCTCCATAGGAACGGCGTATTAGATAGATCAAATAAAAAATCTTATGAGAACTATCTAGCTGAATAATATCGGTTGACTTTGAAATTCTAGAAATATGTCTATGTATCAGGTACTTAGAAATTAATTTTCTAAGTACCTGATATACATACACACACAGTTATCTCAGATCCGATATTTATAATTATCGTCATTAACTGTTTACTGCTGAACATAAGCTTCTCCTTTGGGGGGTATTGCCGGTAGTTGCCACGCTTAGCAACTGCAATTATTGATATTTCAAGAGGGATGCTGCTGCCCGTCCCTCTCCCTCCCTAAGTCACCTTTTTCGACACCCACGGGAAAGGAAGAGGTGACCTATTCTATGCCGGAACAACACGGCCACATTATTTACGATAAAAATTATTAATCACTAACCACTGCCCGCAGCTTTGCTCGTGTGTCAGTATAAACTATGTGTTAGGATATATATTAATCTATCTATGTAACAAAATTAATTATAATTTGTTCAGCCATTTAAGCGTAGTTGCGTAACAAATATGCAAAAATCCAAACATCTTAACATTTTTCTCATTCATATCCTTACTAATATTATAAATCGGAAAGTGAGTTTGTTTGTTTGTTTGTTACCTTATAATGCTTTAACTGTAATTTTTATACATGTACCTACTACACGGGGTAGAGATGGATATAGGCAACTTTTTATCCTGGTCAGTAAACATATCCCGGTGAAGTCGCAGTTAAAAGCTAGTTTATAATATTAATGAGACAAATATTTGCTTAATGTAGAACTACAAATCAAAATAACTAATAAAAGAATCAGCAGCCGCTA